TGTTGTACTTGTTGTTTTCCACGTAATCATGCACCTCTGTGGATTCCAGACATTTCGTGCTCAGTTAATCTTGCTAAAACGTTTTTCCAATTAATGAATCCTGTATTATGGTGTAGTGGCAGCACCATGTTTCTGATAAAATCTTGCAGGATGTACAAAAAAATTGAATTCTTATCTTTAGAATATGTAAACCAAGATCTTCTAAGCTTTTCATTATTTACTAATGTTTTGTATTACATGTCAAATGCCTGCCATCGTGTTCAATGGGACTAAGGTTTACGCTTTCTGGAAGTTAATCGGCTAATAATACTGATTGACTGCTTAATAAAGACTGTTGGCGATCATTCAATTTTTTTCTATGACCAGCCAACTGCATGGGTCGAACAAATAAAAAATTTTAGTTTTTTGTCTTTCTGCTGCCCGCCCCCTCTAAATGAAGAGATCTTTATATCATGGTTTCATGTCCTCCAGCTGTTCGTTGGATGTTGATGAAGAAAGTTGTTCTTTCAAATGCTAACTTGTAGATTGTTTGTGGAGGATATATGCAGTCATGTTTTATCTTGCAAATTGCAAGAACTATTAATACTGTCTAGAATCTCAGCATAATCGGAATTGCAGCAGGGTTCTGATGGTTTACTTCTTCCGTGAAGTTATTTTTTCATCTTAGCTGAAATTTGTTTTCTCTCTTTGGCTCATTTTCTATATTCTGCTGTTCTCCCCCTCGGCACGCAGATGGTTTTTTTTAATCTAAATGAAATACACTTTGAATTGTCTTAATTAAAATAACTGAGACTTGATGTAATTACACTCAACAGTCCTAAATAAATGGTCGCGTCTCGCTAAATATAGTGTGGGCTATTAAAAGCAAGCATAAAAAAAGTAAACAAATAAATAAATAAAATAATAATCCAAAATGCACTCCACTGTTCCGAGTCAAACAAAAGGTGAGCCTAAGTTGCCGACTGGCTGCAAAAAAATCTAAATGGTGGTGTCTTGTATATACTCAACGAATATTAATTTGAATTATTTCATTTCTACAGGATGGCCCAAGGTTAATTTTTTTGGTTAGATATTAGAAAATAGTTGCAAAATGCTTCTCCATTTCCCAGCAGATGTTGCTATGGAAACCAGGCGAATTCTTCAACAAGCTATTGTTCTATTTCTCATTTGAATACACCCCGGCAAGGCAGGAAACAATAGAGGGATTCCAGACGTTACTGATAGGGTCCGTCTGATTCTATCAGTGACGCCTGGAGTCCCCCTACTGGCCTCTTTCTGATCTTATATTTATAGTTGTAATCGGCTGTACTAAACTTTATTTTAATTCATGTTCCTTTAAAAAGGTTCTTAGTATTTAATTATAAATCTTCTTAAAAGAGGTTTTTAAACTTGGCCTTAAAACTATTAACATTGTAGTAAAATTCGAGAGCTGTTTTAGCGAACAACATACCAAATACTATCCAGCGTTATATTTGAATTTTCCGCCCGCAAAAGTTGCCACCTGGGGCAAGAACCCCGGCTTGTTCCCCGCTAGATCCGGGACTGCTTCAATGTAACTTTTCATTTAAGTCTGTTGCCATTCTTCAAAATGCTACAAACTAAGCTGTTTAAAAGCAATAGATACTGTTCTTAAGCATATATATATATATTTTTTTTTTCCTTTTAATCTGATTAATTTCAATAAAAATGCATTTTCAAGACATATTAAAAACTTTACACGTTTTTATAAAATTATTTTATATAATTTTTTCGCTTTCCTGTTATACAGAAAAAATATATATAATGTTCCTATGTTAGTCTAAATGAATATTTATCTAGTGTCCTATTAAATGTTTCGCTAAGCCACCTTGAACATCTCTACTGATAAAACATATTAAACTTCAAAAAACCATTTTCGGCAACCATTAAAATCTGAACCATTTCAGATTTTTTATTTAACTTTTATTTATTTTTATTTTTTTAGAATTCACAGAAATTTTCACTTCCGTGTGCCTTAATTTTTTCATAGTTGTCTAAATGTTTATCTCCTGGTATACTGGGAGTTTTCACTCATTTCCAATCTTGCAGTTTCAAACTTTTTTAGATTCTGATTATTTAAAAATTCTGATTATACAATTTTTTGATTAATAATTTAATTTTTCTTTTGTTCTATTTTCATACTTGAGAGAAAAAATGATCTACATATATGATGAAGTGAATAAGTTAGTTTCAGTAAATGAATGAATTCCAGTAGGTTGGAAAAAAAACACATGGTTCTGAATTTTTTTTTTTTTTAAATCGGCATTTGCATAAATTTCATTTAATTTGTTACACCAATGTCATTCTGACAAAACTAGTTCTTTAAAGCTTTTTTTTTTTTTTTTGTTTTGTTTAAATATCGTATTATCTCTTATTTCATAATTTGGAAGGGCTTCTTCTAAGCACTTTCTTCTAGTTTCCTATTCAAATGGGCATTCATAACATAATAAAATTTTGAGGGGAATTTTTTCACCTGCTCTTATTAACATTTTTCCTAATGTATTTAATCTTCTCACTGGATAAAAATTGTCTTTAAAAATCTGTGACATTTTTGTCCACCTTACTTATTATTTATCATGCTTTATACGATGTTTTGCTGTTTTTGTTGGCATGATAAAGTTTCCAGTGCCAAAGTTCACAAGAAATTTCATTTATTGTAAAAACAAGTTTTGATTTTATTTTCATAATATAAAGGTAGAAATCTTACTGTAAGCAAGTTATCAGCTAATTTATGTTTACATAACAATTAATCTTGCAGAACCATATATGTAAACAACCTTATTGCCCTTTTTTACCATACTTGGGAGAGCCATTAATTATATCCTTAACTATGAGATATATAAAACATCTTTCAAGAAAATATTTTGTACTTCATCCTCATTTAATGTTACTCTAATATCAGCTCAATATATGTGTTGTATATTCCTTCTTTCTTCAGCCCTATTAATGATATTTTCATCTGTTGTATTTTCCACCAAAAAATTGGAAGAAATCAATATGGAATGTACAAACTGAATATATATATATATTTTTTTTAGTATTATTTCTTAACAGGTGAGCAGAAGTTCCTCCCCCACCAGTAAGATTTTCTTCTTTTAATATATTTGCGTATTCATTTAGCTGCACTACAGTTTTTTTAGTTATTTGGTTTCCTAAAACTTTCTTTTGTGTTTGCTTTGTTCTCATTTTTAAACCCACAATCTTTTTATACATGCCAACTTTGTTAATACCACTTACATATATACAGTACAAAGTCCGTAATCCAGACGTCCATTATCCAGAATGATCTATAATCTGGACTTCAAAGCCACAAGCTTGCGCATGCGCGTTTAATGCGCGCATCCGCTACGCATGCGCGTAAAGCGTTTACCCATGTGCGCTTCCGATAGAAAGTGACGGAGAGGTTATTGAAAACGAAAAAATTACGATTGACAAGTTAGTCAGTATTCTCGACACAGCAAACACACAGCAAAAACCATCTGATTTTGTCAAATATTCATCTGTATTTTCATTTAGTTGTTTCTTAATGTAGTTAATTCAAAAATTAAATTAATTCCATGTACTGCATCTTCATATTGATTTTCAGTGTTTTCCATACGTTTTTTAGGCCTCTTTTTTTTTTTTAATACCTGTATAGGCAGTTCCTTATTCTGCTCTTAGCTAATAACAATAATTCAATTGTTTCTTTGTTATTATTTTTTTACCAAGCTTCATGTAATGTTATTTGCATCATTGTCATCTTTTATTGATTCATCTTTTATGATTATATCTTGAAACAGTAATTTGCATCTAACAGTGTATCTATTTTGATAATACAAACTGTATAATTGTTCTGTTTTAATTGCACCAAAACCTTGCATTCGATATAAATCTAAAAAAATTCTTGTCTGAACATAGTTATTAACAGTGAGTTTGATTTAATTTCCTTAAAGTGGTGATTTACTTATTAGTTAGGCCTGATTCTTTCTTGCTAAAAATATTTAATTTTGAATTTACTAATCTATAATCAAGCACATTAGACACAAACATTTTCATTGACAGCAGTAAAACACAATTGCAAAAATTACCTAGTGGAATAGTATGTAAAAGACTTCAACCCAAGTTATGTACCCTATACCCACATTATTTATTTATGCGTTATTACGCTCTTATTGTTTGTAATATATCCATTCCATAACTAGTAAAATAAAAACAATATTTTAATGTTAAGTATGGACAAAATTGATAAAAGTGCATTCTTTACTACTGAGTTGCGCCCTCCTGGCTGCCAATAATTCAGAATATATGTTAGCTTTCAATTGCAGGCTTAGTCATAAATTCTATATTAAAATGGCAAGCATTTTCATATTTTCCTTTGATACTTTAGGGGCTGAAGATGTTGAACTGAAGAACATAAATATTCACTCTGTATATGGTTCACAGTGATTGATAAGCTGAATTCACATTATATATTAGCATGATTTTTATAACAAATTTATAGCAGTCTTGATAATGGAGATGGGGGATACTCAGATGACCAGCACTTGGCGAACTTCCTGAAATCGCGTTCGCCAACTTGGGCACCAATGGGCAAAAATACATTTTATTTCCATATCATTAAGTGTTTCACTTGCTAATTTATTGCTTTGGATTGGCATTTTTTGAGAAACAAATAAAAGCAAATGAACTAAATAACACTATTTCAGTTCCAAGCAATTTTTAAAAGTTTATTATTGGTATTTCTTATTTGATTGTTTGTATGATATAATTAAATGTTTAATACTAAAGACTTTTATTCTTACAGACAGTGCTTTACTTACTGGATGTAACTTTTCTAGTACTTTGATTATTATGTGTATATTTCACATCAGGACAATTTGTCATTTATTTTTTTGCTGTCTTTGTTCTCTATGCATTTCAACATGTGTTCATGTTAAACAATTTATAATAGAATAATAGTTATTTTAATTAAATATTAATTTGAAATTTCCTTAATTTCATAGGTGGGGAGATTGATTACTGGGCATCTGGCTGCCAAAATCAAGTTGAAGTTCTCAAATGTCCTTTTTGCCCTTATGTCACTGAAAGAAATTTTGACTTTCAAGAGCATACACTTTTCCATAAGAAATACCCTCCTTTTATTTGTGACATTTGTAACCGAACTTTTACAAGAAAAGATGTTCTTAGAAATCATTTAAAGATTCATTCTGGAGAACGACCATTTGCTTGTGAAATGTGTAAGAAAACTTTTAAGAAAAAGTCTTACTTGGATATTCATTCAAGGATTCATTCTGGAGAACGGCCTTACATTTGTGAAGTATGTAACAAAGCTTTTAATCAAAAACAGCGCCTTAATTCTCATTTAAGGCTTCATACTGGAGAACAACCTTATGTTTGTGTGGTGTGTAATAAAGCATGTAATGAGAAAGGGAATCTTAACAAACATTTACGGCTTCATAGTGGTGAATATCCATACCAGTGCGTTTTGTGTGGGCAGATGTATAAATGTAAATACAGCCTGAAGAACCATCGTTGTAAACATACTGTTATTTCATGATGTCAGAGACTTAAAAAAAAGCATGTATTTTGCAAATCTGAAATAAAATGTTTTTGAAGTTGCATTCTTTTTTTAATTCTAATTTCCTTTAGACGGTTTAGAGTTTCTTGTTTTGGTGAATGTAGCAAGTTCTCAATTATTTCTCAAATTGAATTTCTGATTTTGTTGCTTTTTATAGCAAAGATATTGGTAACAATGGAAAATGTTTTGAAATTTATATCAAACATGTGAGTTTTTTTTTTTTTTTAATCATTACCAGCTTTTGGAAGTTCAGAATTTTCAGAGAATGCAAAGAAAAGGTTAAAAATCTGTTAGAAAATATCATTTTAGTATTTATATAATGTTCTTTGTAGTCGTTTTCAGAGACTGTTTAAATTGTGGACATTTTCCTTTTGTACATAAAATGTTACTTATTATTGGGCTTTTCCCCTATTCTCTTTCTTTATAAATGCTTCTGTGGATCGATGAGGATGTTTTGAGATAGGAATTTGCAATTTTTGACGAATGAATACTTCAACGCTTGAGTTTGGTGTACAGTTTATTATTAATTTTCAAATATTGAGGTTAGAAATGTCTACAGCGTAATCTTTTGCATTTTGAGGGCAATTATAACTATGAGAGCATTTATTACCTACATAAACTGGAAAATGCTGCTATTGCAAGATAAATTAACATCTTTAATTTTATTTTGCGTGCCACCAAGCAGATAGTCTGTTGTCTGAGTGCTGTTGTTCGATATGGTATAAGCATTAATTTAGCCTTGAAGTTGTAACTGCAGTTGTGTAACAAATTGCAAGATTTAAAAGGCAAGTCCTCTAGCTGCCAGTGGTAGCTTTGCTTTGGTTATAACTATAATTTCCATCCTTTATTTTCATATGAAGGCAGTACAGGAATATGCCTATAATGCTGATATTCATGAAGGAACAATGAAGGCCTGTCTATCTTACTGAAAATGATGCATGAAAAGTATGTGGTACCTCAACTTATGTTCCAAGTTCTAGAAATTTTGGAGGGAAAAATGATTATAGCATGCATTGATGTAAAAATGATTAGTTTTGTGTATAAAATAAGTGGTTTTGCATGTTTTATGTTCCCCCAAAATTTCACTTAAAAACGTCAATTCTTGCGACTGGTTTTATACTTTGGTTTTATTGTTTTTAGTCAACATCGAAACAACTTCTTTTAGTCTTTGGAGGAAAAGATTTAAAAAAAAAAAATAATAATAATAACCAGTGAGGATTGAGTCTGTTATTTGTTAATTATTATTATTTTTTAAATGAGTACTGACACTGAAAATGAAGTTTGATGGCTGTAGAGAAATGGCTTGATTAGAATGTCGCATGTTAATCAGTTCTAATTTGCTTCAGTTTCGCAAGATTTTCTTTATGTCACTTGTTTAATTGCTCCTCTTCTGTTATTATCTTCTTCATCCTTTGAAAGCATTTGCCTTTCTTTCTCATCCTTTTCTTTTTACTGTTACCTTCTTGATTTCTCTAACATCCCAGTGGTCAGCTCCATTTGTATCTCTTTTATTGATTTTTAAACATGTGGTCTTTACTAATTACATTATCTGCAATGTCAGTCCCGCTTTCAAGCTTTTCCAAAGCACTTTACAGAATGTGTTTGGGCTATAGCTTTTCCCAGACTGATTTTAATATTTGCACAAAAACATTATTCCATGCATGATTAATAAGATGCAATTAATGCAGACTGTTTGAATGGTTCTTCAAGAATTCATCGGTGGTTAATTCTATGTCAGTGATAATTTCTAAACGTCTTAAGAAAAGAACTTTAGTGTAGAGCTTTTTGAAATTATCAATAATGTTTTGATCTACTGGCACTAAGAGTGATGTAATATTAGAAAGCAAGAACTTCATTTTGATGAAATTAAACTTTCCATCCAAGTCTTTTTTAATTTGTCATGGATGTACTAAAAAAACATTTCTCAATCTGTGGTCCATGGACTTCAAGGCTACAGACTTCTAAAAACGACAAACAATAAAATTCAAGTTAACTACGTATACCACACTGTAAATGAAAATTTTGGGAAATGTTGCATGGTAATCAACAATCACTTTTGCTTCCAGTACTTACATTTTATGAAATTTATTACCAGTTATTTAACTACAGACTTCCCACTCTAGTCTTAGCAACCAAAAAAGGATTTAAAAATCTCTATAACTGTGATTCTTTTTACCAGCATACATCCAGACATAGAGCTTTAATTAATGCAGATTATTTGAATGGTTTTTACATCCTATTAATTGTGCGCATCAAAATTTATTTAATTTTTAGTTAACAAGATAAAGATTACACGAATTATGTGAAAAACAGATATAAATTTTCTTCTCTTAACTTAATATAAAATTAAATCCAGTCTAATTAAAAGAAGTGGTCCCCACTGTAAAGAGTGTGAAAAACACTGAACTAAAATATTATCAATTACTTGGAAGACTTTTCATGGGTTAGATCCCTTACTTGTACATACCACTTTATGGCGGGAGTGAAGACTTTTGTTATTCATATGGAAAACTGCTTAGTTACCCAAGCTCCGTATAAACTTAGCTTTCATATAACTCATGTACACATGATGGGTGATTTCAGCGCTCCTTTACAGTCTGTATAAAATGTGGAAAGACTGCTATTTTGAATAACGTGAATTGTTCTGTTTTGAAATTATTATTATTATTATTATTTTTTGTGTAGCTTCTCTATGTTTTGTAGAAAACATGAGTATCATTCAAGATTTGAGCTGTAATTGATTTACTTAATTTTGGTAATGATTATGTTTGATATGACCCTTAAGATTTATTTTTGAACTGAACTGAAAGGAAGATCAGTTTTTGTAATTTTTTTATTGTTATTTGTAGATTAAAATTATCCAGTTGAAATATGTTTTTCAAATGTCATCAGTGACTTTGAACATTTTATATTCCTCAAAATAAAAACATGAAATGCAATATTATTTATTCACTGAACTGTTATTTTTCTATTAATGTAATGTGTATCATAATTATGCACAAAATAAACTTATATAGACTAACAGTAATATTATTCGTTGAATTTTTATTTTTTTATTCACGTGCCTAATCAAGTGTAAAATGAAATTACATAGATTAAAATATATAGAAATAGAAGCCAGTTTTAATTTCACAATGGAAAAAAAAACCATATTTTATATTTTGATAAAAGTAAATTAAAAAAGTCAGCTATGACGAAAACTTTGTGAGGATCAATTGATGTATTTTTAATTTTAGCTCCTCTCTTTTGCGCAAGTCCTTAATATCTATCTAGAAGGAAGCTACATTTTTTGAAACAGGACTTCAGTATTATTTTCCACTTCCAGCTTAAAAGTGCAGCGGAAGCAGTAGAAATTAAGTCCTGAACATCACTATCCTCCCTTTTACATACGTATTTTGTCAGTAAAATCGACTTCTCCTTCTACTGGCCATGATCTTATTACTACAGCCATCACTGTAGGCCTAAGTATGCGAAAAGAACACATTTTTAAAAACAATTTTAATCCGAACGAAATTAAATGCTATATACTTTTCACAGAACAGTTTGCTTACTTAATTTGAATGAAGTATTAACACAAGTTTTTGTTAATTGCATTAGGAAAAAAAATTCAGGTAATTCGATTTTATTTGGTTAAGGATTACAAAAATTAAGATCAAAGTTTTTTGTATTATTAATATTTCTTTTCTGTTAATTATTAAAAATTATTTCTTTTCTGTTTACAGAGCTTCTTTAAAATACTTTCTCAAATAAGACATGATTTTTTAGCTTCTGAGGCATCTTTTAAATTGAGAATCTGAGTCAATTTATAATTAATGCTCTATTCAGTCCATTTCAAATTAGAGCACCTTTTATTTTAATAGTGAAATTCGTTAAATGGTGGTGTTGATTTCCATGTACTTACCTTTCTGTGAATACCTCTGAAAAGGAATAAAAAAAGGATTTTTTTTAATATTATTTATAACTTGTAACTGAGTTATTATAAAATATAAGGGAATAATTCTTTTAATACTTATAAGATTTTTTTTACCCTTAATTTTCAACAATACATATTCTAAAGCTCTTCTGCTTACTTAAGTACTCATCTCATAGAATTTGCTTTACAATACCTTTTAATAGATTGTTTTCCTGTGTGAACAATTCTTGCTTAAATAGTTTTATAAACGTATTTGTCAACAGAATTTCAATTTATATTTTAGCATGCATAATTAAATGTGAAGGTTATTATATATTTAGATAATATTTATAATCATTATAAATTTAGCTATAATATGTAATAACTAGATTTCTTCTCAGTAACTTACAGGAGTTTATGAATGAATAAATACTTCATTTTCAAATACATTTATAAATAATTCAATAAATATTTTTGTATTTTGTTAAAGACAGGTAGATGATTTTTGCACCCATACACATTTCATATTTTCCATTTTTGGTGTGTGCAAATCATTAATTTCTGTGCATTCACTATATTTTTCGAGTAAAGTAATTTAAAATAATTTAGCATATACCAAAAATGTTTACATAAGAAATATTTATAAATATAATTTGAATGAAAATTACATGCATTATTTTTAATACCCACTCAAAGGTTAGGTTTTCTTCAAAATTCCTCCACGATGGCATTTCTCCCTTTAGGCAGATAGCCCTTGCATGCCGTACTCTATTTGATAAAAACTTAACCTGGCGTATGTACCTGATTACAAATATTTTAACATGCATAATTTTATATTTACATTTAGCCATCAAGTGTCAATTAATATTATTAATAAATAATAACTGTCCATTTCACATTTAAACATTAACCTCATTGTCATCAGATCGCAATCCATCACATGAGGAATGTTTCTTTTATCGGAAGTGTCCTGTTTTTCGATTCAATGGAACTGTCATGCGTCGAAATACTATCAAGGCTGTCAAGGAAGCTTAAACAAAAATACCCTATCTGGAGACCAAAGCCTGGGAGCAGTGCTTCACTCGTAGTGTGGGGTTGGCAATTACCTTCGTGAATTTAGATGGCCTGGTCAGCTTCAAAGTCACATGATT